GTTGGTAGAGGAAGTTAATTTCATGCAATTTCCATTGCAATTTCATGCAATGAAATCAACGAACGTAGTTTTTCAAACTCTTTCATATTAGAAAAAGAAAATGCAGTCAAATCGCAATAATATTCGGGCACTGAAAGGGCGGACAAACATTCAAAAGTCACTCACAGGCCATATATTACTGCATAATTCACTTGATGCCAAAATAGTCTAATTTACGTCTACAAATTATCCTATCCGGAGTATTGTAGCGCTGGGAAGAAACATCGACACATCCGTCAAGTAAAGGTTTTTTACCTTCAAAAACGAAAGGTCTATTACAGCACGCAGTTGATAATGAAGTGACTGCGTTACTGAACAAGATTGCCTTTCTATACGAATCTGTTGATTGGGCAAGTAACAAGTGTCAGTTGTCCGCACTAATGTCCGTAATAGAGAGGTATCCGTAACAAATGTCCGTAAAGCGGGTTTCGACTGTAATTCCAAAAACAATAAACGATGCATTTTTCTTTTTCTTCGTATAGAGCATCCCTAAGCAGGCCCTAAAAAATGGCTTCTGCAAAACTGCCTGGAATCCCGGGACCCGCGGGTTCAGCGGGTGCTGCTTGAGCACCTGGAAATAACGGGACTTCATTGACCAAGGGGTCCACGTGGATACAAAGGTGAAGCAGGTCCTCCTGGAGCTCAAGGCCCCAGTGGCCCCAAGGGACCACAAGGACCCTCGGGTCAAGCTTGAAAGACGGGTGATACGGGTGCTCGAGGTCCCCCAGGTCCCAAGAGGGTTCCGGGACCGTTTTTCCGAAACTGGCCGACGGCAAGGACACTGTATTAAGGTAAGAGTTGACTTGACACCACTGTGGAGGTGCATACAGTCCCAAATGATCAGACATTAAATTATTCCAGTAATTGAGTTTCTTTTTTCATTATTGTATTGAACAACATATCATATGGAGGCCTTCTGTTCAGATCATTTTGAATTATTTACGTCCTTGCGATTCACTTCAAAGTCACACTGTAAGAAAAGTTCTAAAACAAGAAAAGGAAAAAAAGGTCCCGCGAGGAGTCAAACTATGCTCTTAGCACAAGCCGACAACTGAATCAATCCGACACTGTTCAGCCAGTGCCTCTATTAGCCCATTTGACTCAACAAGGGTCAGCAGTGATGTCTTCGGAACGCATCATCTTCCTTTCCTTTTTTGATTTCGATTGCTTTAAAACCAGTTATAACATTTGCATGGACATTTCAGTGGGACTCTTTTCAGTATAAACAATTTATTAGATCTGTAGACTCCACGCGGCTTATCCTGATTCTCAGACGTCCATAAAAGCTAAGTTAGAGGTCGCGAACGACCTCGGCCGTCAGAAAACTTGTCCAGAAGAAGTACAAGTTACATGGAAATTGCTATAGACTATTTCTGACAGAAAACGTAATGAATATTTAATCGTCGTTTAGTAGGTGGATAAGTATTACGTGGAAATTTCTATAGACACCTCTGTGGTAAAGTATATCTGTAAATTTTGTCCAAAAGAAGTTTAAGCAACGCATGGAAATTTCTATAGACTCTTTTGGCAGTAAATGTATAATACATATTCGTTGTTTGAGCAAATGTATGGAAATTTCTATAGATACCTGGAGGTCAAGATTATCTGCAGCTTTTGTCCAAAGCGTTACATGGAAATTACCGTAGACGTTTCTGGCAGGTAATTTAATTGTATAAGCCATATTGCACGTTTACGCAACTGAGATAATACATGGAACTCTTCATACACATGAGACTTAAAAGGTTGCCAGGTTTTTAAGCAAAACATATCCATTATATGCTACACGAGGAATGATTTCTTGGATGTTATTAAGCTGTCTACCATTGAAGTGTGGAGACGCATATGCCATTATCATATCATTGTTCCTGCTAAACAAGACTTCAACGAATTCTGATGTAAAGCTCTTGAAGTAAACTGAACCAAACTAATACCATAGTGGTCGGTTTCATTACAATAAGAGCTTGTAAGGTCTTTAGTCTTGACTAAATGGACAAAACACAGATAGCTATTAAACGGACTTTCTACTTTGTTGGAAAACCCCCAAACTCATAGCATACCCCGTTTTCCAATTCAGCTACTTCAGAAATACGCACTTAGAAAATCACGTGTTATTATTTGAATAGTTGAAACTTGTTCCTGTTGAACAATCGTTGCATGTAGTTGGATTATGAACTGGGGAGCTGATTTCAGGACTACCTCAAACATCCCGAACAAAGTCTCGTTAAACATAACTGTACCACCCTCTATTTGTTCTTTACAGTTTTTTATCGACTCTCCAGGCTATACAGGGCATAACTTCTTGAAATTCCTGAAGCACAAAATAAATGCTTTAAATCGCGTTAAAGCAGGCACTAATGGTTTCACCCAAAAAATAATACCTGGAATTGAGTCGATCGGCTCATCATTATATCAAAGATATGATATCGCCAAACTCGGTAAAATAGCGAACACAAGCAACACGCCAAACCATGTCTTGTAATCGTTCAGGTAAAATTCCCTCAGAGTGAGTATGTCCGTGACTGGATCATGCCCAGCAACAGCTAAAACATTGCCATAAAAAGAAATATAGTGCTATACCATGCATTTAACTTTGATTGTCGAATCAATGTCGTCAGACATGATGGCTAAGGTTTTTCTAACAAGCGAAGTCCTTGACTTCTATCTTGCGGATTAACTACATACTTAAATTGTGTTAAATTCCTAAACCTGTCCTGAGGAATTTACCGCTACGCACTTGACCGATGAAAACGAGACTAATTTGTGTTCACATGACGTCGACCCGTACAAATATGGTTCTTAACTTATTGATCGAGATGTTATATGAATCGTTGACTTTTATAGACAGTTATCGATATTTATGAGCTGTTACATAAGTTAAGTGGATGGGATGTATCTTTTTTTCGGGTGGCTTCATACCCTGTTATTGCACGTTTATACAACGGCTGTGATCATGGGACAGCCACGCCTAAAACTCGCGCGCCACCTTGCAGGCTAGACTCAGTCGGGAAATTAATGCCATGAATTTTGAATCTTATTGGACGCCTTTTAAATGGTTATGTGCGGCTTGAAGAAGGGGAAGTTGGAAAGAAATTCGTAACAGAGTTTTCAAGAGGACAATATATTTCAAAATTACAGCTTTGCAGTGACATCACCAGCAACAGCATATCTCTGCACTGGGAACTTAACTCCATTTTCATGTAAATTCTTCGAAAAAGTTCTTGATTGCCCATAATACGCCTTCTTTACCCTACAAGAACGTTTTGCAAACCATTGTTTCAAATTTCTTCTAGATATCGCAGTGGTCCCTTAATTCAAGGATCTTCCTATCCGCTCAGCTAGGAAGATCCTTCTACTAGATCATCGCCTTAGGGACAAGTATAAGCCTGGATACAGAAAACAAATCGTCAGTATTGAGGATAATCCACCTGCGAAGATCTTCCCAGTGCTAGGATCTTCCTCCCTACATGTAACTGAGCCCCTAAAAGTTGAATGTCTGTGTAGGAATTTTAATTGTCAGGATCTTCTTTATGCAAATAACGCAAGATCATAGTTTTAAAATATATCTCTGTTTTTTTTTTACTTTGTTTTTTTTACTTTTACCATCATCAGAGAACTGACAGAAGAGAGGTAGTTTTGCTTATTTTACTTTTAAACTTAATGAAGGTAATTTGTCGCTAAATTGGCAAATTCACAACACAAAATTTGTTTAATTTACACTTCAAACAGTAACTTCGTGTCCAACATTTTCTGTTACTGAGTAGTGTAAAAATGAATACTGTTTAAACTCCTTAAAAGTTAGAAATTTTTCGTGCAGAATTAATCTCGCCCGATGTTGAGATGAGATGATGAGATGAATATGTTTGCTGGACCATTCGTTGTCATACAAAAGAAATATACGCCTTTTTGTGATAGTAATCATACAGAGTTTTGTTGCATTAAGATGCTGTTACACGGGACAACACAGCGTTGCAATGTGGAAACGATGTTGCAACAATTCGAAACCATGTCACAACAATGTGGCACCGCTGTGTTAAACATCGGCGTTACGAATCGTCTTGTGTAAAAACGCCTTTAATCTTCCGCAGTACACCCTCTCATAAATGTGAACATATTTTTCTGTACCTCATTTTTTAAGCAGTAGCGGGACAAATCTTGCCTTTAAACTTCAAAGATCCCTATTGAATAAATTGATTGTTACAATTGAAGAAACTGGACGAAAATGCATCACTCAACGCAGGAGGAAAATATATCAGAGTTTGTTCTTTAAGAGTATGCACTGTTTCACGAAGGCAAGGAATACGAGGTTGACGTTGCCCAGTAAACTCTAATATGTAAAGGTGGGGTATGGAATGATGTAAATTATTGCTTTATAAACAGTTCAAGGGGTGGGGATGTGATCCCTAGTTCCCCCTCCCCTGATAAAAATCTCCAGTATTAGGATCAGAATGAAGTATTCTAATGACAACTTGTAAAGGCTCCTGTTAACTTATGTAACATTCCTCTCGAGTCTGGTCACACAGCACACTGTTCTTTAGATTAAAAGTAACTTTTATTTGTATATTCAGATTCAGACTCTAGTTTGTTGGATAACTGAGGACCGTTGTTCGTGCTTTGTTAAAAACAGAAACCCTATTAGTTTCTAAGGCAATTCGTATAAGCAACCTTATTCAAGGGGGCCTCTCCGTACTAGACCCTCAAAGCAAGGGAGAGAGAGACCCTGGTCTGGCCTACTCTCTCCCCCCTCCCCTGCCCTCTCTCTCTCCCTCTTTCTCTTGCTTCTAGAGCCGAGGACGGAGAGACCCTGGGAACGAGGTTGTCTTTTCAGCTGGTTTAGCATCTTAAAATCATCCCTTACAATAGCAGCGTTTTTTTTAACAGGTTATTTAACAATAATTACATTTAAAGCTAGAAACCTTTTTAGGAAACATCTTAAGTTTATGAAAAATTTGAATCTGCTTTTCTTAAGCTTGTGGGGGAGGTATTTCTTCCACGAACATCCGGGACACCGAGTTCCATCCTGTGACTGCATCAGCAGAACCGTAACCTTTGCAGTTGCCGACCCAGAATCCCACGCGCACAGTGCCTTTGTGGATTTTATCGCAGACTCCCTCGACGTGACGTGGACGGTGCAAATTTTGTAGTCTGCTGCCACTTCCATATACCATGTAAACAGTAGCATCAATAGCTGCTGGAGCCGAGCACTCTGCGCCATTAAAAGTGAAATACCATCGCCTACAACAGCTGTTGCAATTATAGATGCGGAGTTGGCCACTCCAGTAGACACGCAGACTTGTGCTGTCAGAGGTCTTCTTGAAAATGCATTCCTGTTGAAAGGAAAAGAGCAACCAAATTCAAGATTACCAGAGTAATCTTTTAATCCTTTATCCACAGAAAGACAGCTCTGACTAATTTAGTTTGAGTCTATAGATATCTTAAGTTAGGACGATACAAATTACAATAGGGATCTAGTGGAGGGACCTGGGTGCCCCCCTCCCCCACCTTATATTTTAGACCAAACTAAGGCCCGACGGGCAGAAAAAATTTTTTGAAGACCTTATCTTATCCTTATCTCATGGTCTGGATCCGACACTAAAATTTTACGTCCTCAGCGACGCTTTCGTATGGTACAGTGGTACAAGGTGGGTTAAACTAACACTTTAATCTGTGAAAAAAATCCCATGGTATTACCATGCAAAACTGCTGAGGAGTGCTTCCATGTTAAAAGATTTTACTCGATAAAATTGGGAATTTTTTGGAAGTAAAGGAAATAAATAATTAAACAAATGAGCCACACGGGCTACTAGTTCTAATCCAGGCAAATTTGCGAGCAAGACCTTCTAATGAAATTCTATGTTTTTAAATAAAACCCAAGTACTGACGAACTTTTTATTCGGAGGCCAACTTAGCTTTCACCTTGACCAATCCAGAGTCCCTGCCATCGCTCAGATCCTTAAAAACGCACTGTTTCCAGTTACGTGCAAAAGACCCTGAAGACCCCTTGGGACCTGAGGGACCTTGACTTCCAGGAGGCCCTTTATCACCCTTCTTTCCAGCTTGACCCGAGGGGCCTTGTGGTCCCTTGGGGCCAGGGGGACCTTGACTTCCAGGGGGACCTGCATCACCCTTGCTTCCGAGTGGGCCTGCTGGACCAGTTGACCCTGTACCTCCCTTGGGGCCAGGAAGTCCCTGTTTTCCACGGGGTCCTTCATCGCCTTTGACTCCTCGTTGACCCATAGGTCCTTTGGGTCCGTTATTCCCGGGTGATCCCGATGTACCAGCTGGTCCCGCGGGTCCCGGGCTTCCTGGGATGCCCGGTATCCCCGGTGCGCAGAAACAAGGAGAGTAACCACAAGAGCCATGTTGGGAATTCTGTTGAGGAAATTAAGGGCAGAAATGAAAAAGAAAAACAGAGAGAGGTCAATACATTATTCATTCTCTTTGATTTAAAGTTAATGCACTTCTTGGGGATGTTTGTTTCTGAAATAGCCTTTGAAAAATAAGTAATTAAATAACTGACAATGAATATTAATTAATAATAATGATAATAGATAAATGAAAGCAGATATAAGCTAAGTACAGTAACACAAGACGCGTGAAGGAGTCTACTTTTGGCCGCTGACATTCTATATGACTCTCACTGCTTGATTCATTCATTTATATATATATATATATATATCTAGTCCATCGTTTGTTCAGTTATTCAAGTTCACTGCTAATGATCATTTTATCGGTTGTCCAACTATTCATTTCCTGTGCATTTATATTATTTGACTAGGGGACTACCCATATCGATTATAAATTCTACCATAATATATATTATTCAGATACTAATTACAAGCGAAGCATAAAACATGTCTAGATATCAAAAAATAAATGTTGAAAACGGCGCCGGATGTTAGGACAACCATTCTGACTCATACTTTCATTGATTCTATTCCATTTTATTCCATTTTCTCTGGCAAATGAATGCAATCAACGACCATAAACTTTCTGGATTAATCGCTGATATCAAATAAAGTCTCGATCATCTGAAATTTCACAAATCAAACTCACCTTGTTGCTGCTGTTTTTGCTATTCGCAGAACACAAAGGGATCAGCAGTAACGGTACTATCCATAACATAATGGCCGATGGTATCTTCATACAGAATAGCATTATCGCAGAATCAAACTGTGGGGTGAATATATTAATTATTTAACAATCATCACAAAGAGAACAGTGTTTTTAATTCTTCCCGGGGAAAATGAATGCTAGTAAATTATTCTCAGTTAGAAAACAAACACAACTGAGTGAAGAATCTAACCTGGAAGGAACACTTCAATTGAGTATTTTAAGAAATGAATTTTTAGCTACTCTGCAGTAACAGTAAATCTAGGACAACTTACATACCAACCTTGCTTGTATGGCTGTTGTCCGGCGTCCGCAAAAAATGATGAATAGATTAATATTGCTGATCTTTTGGGTCGTTTTGTACTCACGTTTAGCATAAAAACATGTTTTTAGCACGTTCAAAGGCTTGTTAAAAATAACATGTCAAAAAAGGCAAAATGTTCTTATTGGTTAACTCACACTGAGCTGACCAATCAAGGCGTTCGTTTAATTTGGTAAGTTGCAAGTTTGAAACACGTTTAGGACCAGTGACGTAAAAAACATGAAAAATGACAAAAATTCTTATTGGATAAATCATTTCTAGATTGATCTATGGTATAACGCGTTGCAAAAAGTCTTTGTTTAGAAGAGTTCAGGATTTTAAGCTAAAATAAGAAAGCAACCCTTGTTGTTTACGTTACTTCTTAGAAGTTTACTAATCCCAGTTTTAGTTGGTTTTCAGTTTCCAAAGCAAAGAAAATCCCCCCTCTTCCCCCACACTGAATTACATACTGAACAGCAGATGGAAATCACAATATTAATTATTACTTAATTGCGACAAAAGTGATCGCATTATAGAAAAGCATGCAACCTGCTCATTATAGTTTCCTAACGGATATTTCATTTTCACTTAAACACGACTCGAATTTTGAAGAGGAGGAGAAGAGGAGTAAGCAGCTACAGAAATAACTTAACTGGATTTTTTTAAACTATTTTCCAGATTTTTGTTAATTGATAAGACTTTCAAAATGAAGGCGTAATTTTAAACAACTGTAATCTTTTTTAGCAGCGACAGGCTGAGCTATAAAACTTCAAATATTTATTAATAATTTTTCGATGCAAAACGAAGAGGCTACAATAAATTGATGTTTAGGCTTGGTTCTGGAACAACTGATTAGTTTTAGAACACAAAAAAATCGCCTTGATTTGCAAATTCAAAATATTTTTTAACCAAATTAAGTGAGGAATTAACGTGATAAGGTTGGATCGAGAGACAAATTACCATAAAGCCTTTATAACACTTGTATTGGGCAGGCTTGCCTGAGTAAAATAGACCTGCAATGAGGAGGACGGAAATAAATGCTATGTCAAAGACATTAAAAATGAAGAGAAATCGGCAAAAATACAAATGTACGTACAAACCTACCTCGATAGATTTTTGCCCTTCAATTTCTTCTCAACTGCTCACTGGGAGTTAAGGGAAAACAAATTCTCGTAGGAACGTGTTGAAGAACATCATGGCTTTATTGTACCGAAAGAGACCATTGGCTGCTTGTGGTTTATCCACTCAGCGACTCATCCAATGATCTGGTGTCTTTTATTTCCGCCAAAAAACCCTGAGAAGGAAAATTTTTGCTTTTTTTTAATTGAGAAGCAGTGTGCAATTTCTTAAGCATTGTTATAGCTAATACCAGCAAACAGAAAATTATCGTCGTTTAAGATCACTAAAAAGTAAACTAAGGGATCATTACCTTCTTTGCGGTTCTAAGCTGTGTTTGGTGTTTAAGCTAACCTCGCCGCCTCACCATCTTATAGAGCCTTTCTAAACATTCACTACTCTGTCTTCTTTTATTAAAAATAACTTTGTAAATTATATTTCTCCTCATGTTGACTATTACTGATTAATTTCCACTCTAATTTCAAGCTGACATACACCGTTTGTCAGAAAACATTTGCCTGCAAATAATATCCTTAGCGTGGTCTTCAGAAAAATTCGTTAATATTCGATGAGCAAAATACCTTCACCGGGACAAAAGTTGATCCCCTACGTTCTTAATTTGTTCGTTCCTTTCGTCTGTTATTGCCGGGCGCAAAACAAAACATAGAAAAAAGTGTGACGTTGTAAAATCAAACTGATTTTTGAAAGAATTCATACAATAATCAAAGACTTTGGTCGGTCAGATAATTCCTTTCTAATGTAAAAAGACAGAGAAATTTTAGGCGCTATTCGACTCCTGTCCGCTTCTGGCTATTAAGACACCTTCTTGAATAGCAATAACTCGCCTGGTCTAATTCCACTGAACTTCTTTGGTCAAACTTTGGTTTAAAAATAAATCTTTTGAATGGACACAGGTGGATGGTAGTTTATTTCGGTAATACTTCTTAGATCAAAAAGAGTAGTGTGCCTAAAGTACGCAGTAATTAACGTGAAAATATAAAACAGCTATCGTACGAGCGGTACACGTAGTTCTAGTTTTTCATAGCTACTCTGATGTCCTCGAACTTTTGACCATTCAGGGTTTGAAAAGCGTTAATTATCATGCCTTCCCAGTACGGCCAATTTTCATAGCTGATGTAGAACTATAATTGCAGTTCTGAATATGATAAAAGGAAATATAAACATGAACTGGACTCATTTTAAGTACTTTTCTAAAGGGTCTCTAAAGCTAAACACTGTGGCTTTGCAGCTGGCAGTTTGGCTACGTGTTGCGTGTTGTTACGTGCTGTCTCAAATTTATTGGCCTCATCATTCTTAAATTACACCAAACTTCGAAATTTGCTTCAAGCAGTAAAATGTACATATTCTGATAGAGGTTAATTGGCTTACTACAAGCTACTTATACGGCACATGAAACAAAATATTGACTGGGCAGTTGCTGAAACCGCGTTTTAGGTTCAAGCCTCAGTCTCCGCATCATCGTACGAGCTAGTTGCCGCTGCTCTTCTTCCTTGAAACTGCAAACTAACTTAAATTCATTGTCACCCCACACGATCAAAACTATAAGTTTATGAAGGAAAGATGTTGATGTTCCCAAGCTTCATTTATTAATATTATTATTTTATGTTTTTCCTTTTTGGATAACCTATCATAGCGAACATGGTACCATTAAAAGAAATTTGTGATTTTCTCTTCAGATGCGCGCCGGCTTTTAAGCCACGGGGACAAAAATAGACACCGCGCTAGACTGCTCCTTATACCTAAACACTAGCGCGCAAAATTATAGAATCATAAGTCGTTTCCTTCTAAAATTTGACACATTTTTTTCCACGGGTTTTGTCTACAGGGTAATACTGACAAAAGTGGCTCCTCTTTTTTAATCTTTTGTTGTTGTTTTTTTTAGTTTTTAATTACACTTCTAAAAGTTTTCGTAAAATTCTTAGGCAAGTCTGGATGATTTTCATATTTTAAAATGCAACTACTTGCGCGGAACAGGACAATTCAACAATATTTTTTTTACCTATTTGCATAACATATATGTAAGAAGCTATAAATAAGGAAAGCTTTCCTCACGAGTTTGCCACAATTGGAATGTCAAATTTTAGGGTTTTAAAATATGGTACCTTGATTATATTTGCCAAATTGTCAGTTTCACCTTGAGGTAATAGAAGATAATTGAATAAACAGCGTATACATGTCGTGGGCACGGTACTCTAAAAGATCAAAGACGAAACAGGTTCTAAGTAGATTAAACTTAAAGAGTAAAGATTCCCCATAATTATATAACACAACAACTGTGAAAAAAAGCAGTGTACCGTTTAAAATGTCCATAATATCCTCAGCCTTTTTCTTTCATTGCTAAACAAAAATAATTTTCCATTTTGCAGTCTTTGCATGTAATGAGGTTCTTGTCAGATCAAGTTTGCAAAGAAATCTGTTGTGCTTGACTTCTTATTTGACAGATAGCTGTCATTTATTAAAACAGAAGAAATAATCACTGATTACTAAACCAGTAAATTTGCATCTTCCCATTATAATTATTTTAGGAGTCGCTACCTAATGTAAAGTAATAACGCGTTGTGATTTATTCCAAGTGTACTCTCTCTAATCGTTTTAATCGTACAAGGATGCAATCGAATCTGAACAACTTTGAAGGGTGGCATCCAGGGGAGGTAGATTGGGTACCTCGCCCATGAAAATCAGTCGTTGTATTCGGAGTGGCTGCGTTCTGTCTGGTAAGTATGGTTTTCTTGTATTTTTGCGCCATAATTTTTCGATTCGGTTGAACAATTAATTTTTTTTTCCAAATATTTTTCAATCTGCGTTTATTTGAATTCTGTATTTTCCTTTGTTAAAATATGTTTCTCATGGTGAATCTTAAAGTAATGACCGAATTCGATCTGAACTCGGAGTTTAATAAGAGTAGCATAAAACTTTTCCCATGTCTTAGGGACGGATAACTATTAAGATCATGTTTTTGGGGATTCATTTTGCATTGGAGAGTTAGAACAATCCAATTGACAACTCAGTCATTATCTTTTATCGGAAGTGAACAGCTTTGGTAATGCGACTCCTCTTGAAACTTTATTCTATGTATAAATGTGTGTGAAAAGTTCATAAAAGATAGTTTAAGGCCTCGTCCAAGCGTATCCACCTATTTTTGAAAAACGGATTTTTCCACAAAAAAAGCCTTTTGTCCACAATATTTCCATCGTTTTAGCGTTTTCATCTGTTGTTGTTGTTGTAGTTGTTGTTTGTTTTTAATGCTTTGAGTATTGTTTAAAATATTCAAGAGACCAGAAAATTAATGATTGTCTTCATGCCACGGCTATAGACAACGATCGATGATTGCCAATCAACAAGTTTCCGTAAAAACACCACTTTAACTCTTCAGTACACCCTCTCTTGAATGTGAACATAATTTTCTGTACCTTATTTTTTAAGCAGTAGCCGAATAAATCTTGCCTTTAAACCTCAAAGATCCCTATTGAATAAATTGATTGTTACAATTGAAGAAAACTGGACCAAAACGCATCACTAAACGCAGAAGAAAACGTTTCAGAGTTTTGTTCTTTAGAGTATGCACTGTTTCACGTGCTGTACTGCACATTACTTTATACGAAGGAAAAGAACGCGAGGTTGATGTCGTCTAGTAAACTCTAATGTGTAAAGGTTGGGTATAGATGTCACTTATTTCTTTATAAGGGGGGAAGTTGATCCCCAGTTCCCCTCCCCTGATAAAAAAAACTCCAGTATTAGGATCAGAATGAAGTATTCTAATGACAACTTATAAAGGCTCCTGTTAACTTATGTAACATTCCTCCCAGTCTGTTCACACAGCACACTGTTCTATAGATTACAAGTGACTTTTATTTGTTATTCAGACTTAGATTCCAGTTTGTCAGATAACTTTTAAGACCTTTTTCTAGGCTTTGTTAAAAACAGAAACCTTATTACTTGCAAGATTGAGTTTCAAGGGTTCGCTCTTTCTGTCTTGCTCCGAGGGCCGAGAAAAACGGAGAGAACTCTGGGAATGAAGTTGTCTTTTCAGCTGGTTTAGCATCTTAAAATTATTCATTACAATAGCAGAATTTCTTCAATAGGTCTTTTAACAATTACTGCATTAAAGGCTAGAAAACCTTTTAGAAAGCACTTTGAGTTTATAATTAAGAAAAAAATGAATCTCTTTTTAAGCTTGCGGGGGTGGTACTTCTTCCACGTAGATCCGGGACACCGAGTTCCATCCTGTGCTCGCATCAGCAGAACCGTAACTTTTGCAGTTGCCGACCCAGAATCCCACGCGCACAGTGCCTTTGTGGATTTTATCGCAGACTCCCTCGACGTGACGTGGGCGGTGCAAATCTTTCAATCTGCTACCAGTTCCATATCTCATGTAGACTACAGCATCAATAGCTGCTGGAGCCGAGCACTCTGCACCGTTAAAAGTGAAATACCATCGCCTGCAACAGGCGTTGCAGTTATAGATGCGGAGTTGGCCACTCCAGTAGACACGTAGACTTGTGTTGCCCGACGTCTTCTTGAAAATGCATTCCTGTTGAAAGGAAAGAGCAACCAAATTCAAGATTACCAGAGTCTATGGATATCTTAAGTTACAACGATACAAATTACAGTGACGGCTTCAGTGGAGGGGCCCGGGTGCCCCCACCCCCTGCCACATTCTTATTTTTTCGACCAAACTGAGGCCCGAAAGGCCAAAAAAGTTTTTTTTGGACACCCCAACCCCCTTATGTCAAGGTCTGTATTGGGCACTAAATTACACCTCTTCAACAATACTTTCGTATGGAACAGTGGGTACAAGGTGGGTTAACCTAACACTTTAATCTGTGAACAAAATCCCATGGTATTACTATTCAAAACTGCTGAGGAATGCTTCCTTGTAAAAACATTTGATTTGCAAGATTTTACTCGATAGAACTGTGAATTTTTTGGGAGTCATAAATACTTAAAGAAATGATCGGAGCCACAATGGCCACTGGTTATAATCCAAGCAAATTTGCGCGAACAGGACCTTCAAATGAAATTCGTTCTTTTTAAATAAAACCCAAGTACTGACGAACTTTTTATTCTGAGGCCAACTTAGCTTTTACCTTGACCAATCCAGAGTCCCTGCCATCGTTCAGACTCTTAAAAACGCATTGTTTCCAGTTACGTGCAAAAGACCCTGGAGCCCCCTTGGGGCCTGAGGGACCTTGACTTCCAGGAGGACCTGTATCACCCTTCTTTCCAGCTCGACCCGAGGGGCCTTGTGGTCCCTTTGGGCCAGGGGCACCTTGACTTCCAGGGGGACCTGCTTCACCCTTGCTTCCGCTTGGGCCTGCTGGACCAGTTGACCCTGTACCCCCCCTGGGGCCTGGAAGTCCTTGTTTTCCACGGAGTCCTCCATCGCCTTTGACTCCACGTGGACCCATAGGTCCTTCGAGTCCGTTATTCCCGGGTGTTCCCGATGTACCAGCTGGTCCCGCGGGTCCCGGGCTTCCTGGGATGCCCGGTATACCCGGTGCGCAGAAACAAGGAGAGTAACCACAAGAGCCATGTTGTGAATTCTGTTGAGAAATTAAGGGGAGAAATGAAAAAAAAAATGAATAAATTATTCATTCCTATTGATTTGGAGTTGATGCACTTCTCGGGGATGTTTTTTTCTTAAATTGCCTTTCAAGAATAAGTAATTGAATTATTGACTATAAATCATAATTAATAATAATAATAATAGATAAATAAAAGCAGGTATAAGCTAAGTACAGTAGTACAAGACGCTTGAAGGACTCTAATTTTGGCCGCTGACCCTACATAACCCTCACTGCTAGATTCACTCACATATATATCAAGTCCATCGTTCGTTCATTCAGTTGAGCAACAATTCAACTGCACATGATCATTTTATTATTGTTCAACTATTCATTTCCTGTTCATTTACATTACTTCACCAGGGGACTATTCATTTCGATTATAAATTCTACCATTAATATGTATTATTCAGATATTAATTACAAGTGAAGCATAAAACATGACTACATATCAAAAAATAAATGTTGAAAACGGCGCCGGATGTTAGAACAACCATTCTGACTCATACTTTTATTGATTCCATTCCATTTTATTACATTTTTTCAAACAAATGAATAATGCAATCAGCGACCATTAACTTTCTCGATTAATCACTGATATCAAATAAAGTCTCGATCATCTGAAATTTCACAAATCAAACTCACCTTGTTGGTGCAGTTTTCACTATTCGCAGAACACAAAGGGATCAGCAGTAACGGTACTATCCATAACATAATGGCCGATGGTATCTTCATACAGAATAGCATGATTGCAGTATCAAACTGTGGGATGAACATATTGTTTAACAATCACCACAAACACAGTGTTTTGAATTCTTCCCAGGGAAAATGAATATTTTTACGTGTATTGGCGTATTTTGCAAGCTATACTATCTTCGAGGAAAACTGAAGACTGCTAGACAAGTAGTCTCTTAAAGTTATCGAATTCTTACTCTTTCGAATTACAAAAAAAAAACGCAAATAAAACACAAAGAAACAAACAGATGACCGGTTACAAGAATCAATTCTACTATTTCCAGGTTTAAGAAATATAGAAGAACCAATACGATTATAATCATCTTTTGATCAAACAATTTCAGGTGGGTCATGAAAACACGACGATAAAAAACTGAAAAGATGTACATCATAACAAAATAGCCCTCTCCTAGTAAAATATCTTCAGTTGAAAAACAAACACAACTGAGAAAAATTGATAATCAAACCTAAAAGGAACACTTCAAATTGGAAAATTACATTAAGTATTTTGAGAACTGAATTTTTAGCTACTTTGCAGTAACAGTAAACCTAGGACAACTAAAATACCAACCTTGCTTGTATGGCTGCAATAGTCCGGTGTCCGCAAAAAAATGATGAATGGCTTAATATTGCCGATCTTTTATGTTGTTTTGAAGTCACGTTTAGCACAAAAACATGTTTTTAGCACGTTCAAAGGCTTGTTAAAAATAACATGTCAAACAAGGCAAAATGTTCTTATTGGTTAACTCACACTGAGCTGACCAATCAAGGCGTTCGCTTAATTTAGTAAGTTGCAAGTTTGAAACACGTTTAGGACCAGTGACGTAAAAAACATGAAAAACGACAAAAATTCTTATTGGATAAATCATTTCTAGATTGACCAATTGTATAACGCGTTGAAAAATCTCTTTGTTTAGAAGAGTTCAGGATTTTAAGCTAAAATAAGAAAACAACGCTTGTTAGTTAGTTTATGCGTAACTTCTGAACTAAGACTGAGTTTACTAATAATGATAGTTTTAGTTGGTATTCAGTTTCCAAATCAAAGAAAATCCCCCCTCTTTGGACACGCTGAATTACATACTGAACTGCAGATCGCAATCACAATATTTATTACTTAATTGCGACAAACGTGATCGCATTATAGAAAAGTATGCAACCCGCTTATTATAGTTTCCTAACGGATATTTCATTTTCACTTAAACACGACTCGAATTTTGCTTGAAGAAGAGTAAGCAGCTAAAGAAATAAGTTAACTGAATCTCGGTTAACTGATAAGAGAAAAAAATTGGAAATGAAGCCGAAATTTTAAAACAACTGTAATTTTTTTCAGCAGCGACAGGGCTGAGCTATAAAACTTCAAATATTTATTAATAAGTTCTCGATGCAAAGCGAAGAGGCTACAATAAATTGATGTCTAGGCTTGGTTCTGGAACAACTGATTAGTTTAAGAACACACAAAAAATCGCCTTGATTTGCAAATTCAAAATATTTTTTTAACCAAATTAAGTGAGGAATTAACGTGACAGGGTTGGATCGAGAGACAACTTACCATAAAGCCTTTATAACACTTGTACTGGGCAGAATGGCCTGAGTAAAATAGACCGGCAGTGAGGATGACAGAAATAATGCGATATCAAAGACATTAAAAATGAAGAGAAATCGGCAAAAATACTAATATACAAGCCTACCTTGCTAAATTTTTGCCCTTCAGTTTCTTCTCAACTACTTACTGAGAGGTAAAAGAAAATAAATTCTCGTACGAACGTGTTGAAGAACATCATGGCTTTATTCTACCGAACGATAACATTGGCTGCTTGTGGTTTACCCACTCAGCGACTCATCCAATGATATCGTGTCTTTTATTTCTGCCAAAAAAACCCTGAAAAAGAAAATTATTGCTCTTTTATAATTGAAAAACAGTTTGCAATTTCTTAAGCATTATATTGTTATAGATTATATACCAGCAAACAGAAAATTAACGTCGTTTAAGATCATCGAAAGTAAACTAAGAGATCATCACCTTCTTTGCGGTTCTAAGCTGTGTTTGGTTTTTAGCTAAGCTCAGCCTCACCCTCTTAGATCAGAGCTTCTCTAGACATTAACTACAGCTATCTTCTTTTATTCAATTATTTTGTAAATTATATTTTCTCCTTATGTTGAATACTACTGATTAATTTCCAATTTAATTTCAAGATGACATAGACTGTTGTCAAAAAAACATTTGCCTAAAATAATAAGCTTATCGTCGTCTTCAGAAAGATTCGTTAATATTCGATGAACAAAATACCTTCGTCTGGAAAACAACTGATGCGCTACGTTCTCAATTTGATCGTTCATTTTGTCTCTTATTGCCGGGCGCAAAACAAAACATAGAAAATAAAATAGGACGTAGTAAAATCAAACCGAGTCTTAAAAAAATTCATACAATAATCAAAGACACTCGTTGGTCAAATACTCTCCTTTCTAACGTAAATAGATAGAGAAATTGTAGGCGCTATTCGACTCTTGCCCGCCTTTGGCTATTGACACACCTTCATTAATAGCAACAGCTCGCCTGGTCCGATTCCACTGAACGCCTTTGGTCAAACTTTGGTTTGAAAATAGAAAATTTTGAATGAACCACAGGTGGATGGTAGTTTATTTCAGTAATACCTCTTAGATCAAAAAGAGTCTTGTGCCTAAAGTACGCGGTAACTTGCGAATATAAAAACAGCTAGACACTCGTCGGTCAGATAATTCCTTTCTAATGTAAAAAGACAGAGAAATTTTAGGCGCTATTCGACTACTGTCCGCTTCTGGCTGTTGACACACCTTCTTGAATAGCAATAGCTCGCCTGGTCTGATTCCACTGAACGTCTTAGGTGAAACTTTGGTTTGAAAATAAAAATTTTTGAATGGACACAGCTGGATGGTAGTTTATTTCGGTAATACTTCTTAGATCAAAAAGAGTCTTGTGCCTAACGTACGCAGAAACTTGTAAATATAAAAACAGCTATCGTGCGAGCGGTACACGTAGTTCTAGTTTTTCATAGCTACTCTGATGTCCTCGAACTTTTGACCATTCAGGGTTTGAAAAGCGTTAATTATCATGCCTTCCCAGTACGGCCAATTTTCATAGCTGATGTAGAACTATAATTGCAGTTCTGAATATGATAAAAGGAAATATAAACATGAACTGGACTCATTTTAAGT